CGGGTCGGGAGTGAGGGGCACCGGCAGAGCTGGGGGGGGACAGGGCTGGGCTGGCAGGGGCTGCGGGTCGGGAGTGAGGGGCACCGACGGGGCTGCGGGTCGGGAGTGAGGGGCACCGGCAGAGCTGGGGAGGGCTGGAATAACAATGGGGCTGTGGAGTCACTGGGCCAGGTACCCAGCTGGTGTAAACCAGCGTAGCTGCTTTGCTGTAAATAGACTTGGGCCAGTTTACTCCAGCTGAGAATCTGGCCCACTCTCGGCCCCAGGGCAGGGAGTCGGGATTTGCCCCATGGCTTTGTGGGCCAGCCCCTCCGCGGGTGTCAGCCAGCCAGGCGCCTGTGGTCCCAGCAGAGCAATCCTGATTTACAGCAGCTGGGGGTTGGGCCCCTGCGCCAGGCGCCCCGGCCACCCCCTCCTGTGGCCAGCCCCACCTGCCGGGGACGGGTCCCTCCCAGTCCCACCTCCTGCCCGGTCCCGAAAGCAGCCAGCTGCTGAGGCCAGGTTTGGGTGGCACCGAGTGTGCCAGGGGTCGGCTCGGCTGTGCCCGCGCTGCTGGCTCGGGGACGGGCCAGTGGGGTGAAATGCGGGACGGGGCAGCAGGGTATCGCTCACCGGGCGGGATCCTCCAGCCCTGCCCGACTGGAAATGCCCCGAACGCGGCGCTGGGGCCAGGGACGGATCCCAAAGGGCCCTTCGGCCCTGGGAAGCCGCGAATCTCCGGGGCGGGCGGCGCCGACGCAGGCAGATCCAGCCGCAGTGACCCGGGTTCGTTATCCTGGTGCCCGTTGGAGGGGGGCAGCACAGGCTGCGAGTGCCGGGGAGCGTGGGGGGGGGTGTCTTGCAGCCCGGGGACGGAGCCATCGCTGGGACATGGACCCCTGCAGCCTGGGCCACATGCAGCCCTCATGCCGGGATGCTGGAAGGGCGCTGGGAGCCAGGACTCCTGGGTTCTCTCCCCGGCTGCCCTGTGTGGCTGGATCTCTCGGGGTCAGTGGCAGGAGTGGCCTGGGGTGTTTCGGTTCCGTTTGTTTGCAATACTTGGGGGAGCCATTGGCAGGGCCCAGAGAAAGTCCTGCTCCGGGGGTCAATGCTGGGTCGCACCCGGGGGCCTGACACCCCCCCCCACAACCCCTCGGGGCACCAAAGGGAGGTGAATCCAGATCCTGGGGTGTCCAGAATTGTCCCCAAAGCTTCCCCTCTGCCTGTCTGTCCCTCCGTCCATCCCCAGAGCTACCCCTCTGTCCGTCCCCACACCTACCCCTCCACCCATCCCCATAGCTACCCCTCTGCCCGTCCCCGCACCTACACCTCTGCCTGTCTGTCCCTCCGCCCATCCCCATAGCTACCCCTCTGTCCGTCCCCACACCTACCCCTCTGCCTGTTCTCCGTCCATCCCCACACCTACCCCTCTGCCTGTCTGTCCCTCCGCCCATCCCCAGAGCTACCCCTCTGCCCGTCCCCGCACCTACCCCTCTGCCTGTCTGTCCCTCCATCCATCCCCATAGTTACCCCTCTGCCCATCCCCACACCTACCCCTCTGCCTGTCCTCCATCCATCCCCATAGCTACCCCTCTGCCCATCCCAGCACCTATCCCTCTGCCTGTCTGTCCCTCTGTCCGTCCCCATAGCTACACCTCTGTCCGTCCCCATAGCTACCCCTCTGCCTGTCTCTGTTCTCACGTGGCCCCGGACCGCCCCCCCCCCCCGGAGCTGGGAGTCTCTCGCCCCCCGCCCGCACCGCCCGGCCCCATGACGCGCGGGGAGGACGCGGCGCGGGTCGCTGCGGCAGCGGGGCCGGGCGGTGCGGGACCCGGCTCAGCCCCGCTCTGTGCCCGCAGCTCGCCGGCTGGATGCGGGAGAAGCGGCTCATGGCCGGGGACCAGGCGGCCAAGCCCCAGGCGCGGTGGCTGCGGCACCAGGAGTTCCGGGCCCAGCTGGCGCAGAACCGCGAGTGGCTGCACAAGATCGAGCAGGTGAGGAC